CCCTTCATTTTTTATTTGTGGTCTGTGGTGATTTAACCATGTAAGTGGGTGAAAAGGTACTATAAGCACAGAGCAAAGGAACGTTCAGAGAAAGTAACGAGAAAGACAGAATATATATATATATAAAATATATATATTTTGTGGGGAGAGAGGGATCATAATAAAAAAGTCAACAATTCGATGCAGGTGTATTCCTGGGCAATATTTATCGGAGGAAATGCCATAAACAATAATAAAAAGATAATCAGAATATCAGCTCATACATATCACAGACTCCATTAACAACCAAGAAGTTTCTATGCGCACAAGTTCTAATTCTAGTCACATGTGGTACCCACAAATTCACAAAATCACCTGCCATAAATATCGAATAATTCTTTCCCCGTAATATTCCCTCAATATTTATAGGATCTCAAACACACCCACTTACACACAAAAGTAAGCATGAGCTCATTATTATTCCTTGCATGAGCTAATCAGCAGTATTGAACAAGCTTAAAACATGACCATATATATATATATATATATATATATTCCCGTTTGCAATCACATGGAGAGAGAAGGAAAATCTTAATACTCCATTCATTTCAAAATATGTTTTTATAAGGGGATTTTTTTAGAGAAAATTGTTAGTAAATCCTTCTTGGAACTGAAATTGTACTGGAAAATCAAAAGACCATAGTGCAAGTTGATGGTCATGAAATCTCATATCTATCTATTGGCACTCTGATCCTTTGGTCATCTAGCTCAATTTTGACTTTAAAGAGGGACTTATTAGCAACTTTTTCTAATTTTTTATTTGAGTTAAATGGCAATATTGTTTAGGATTTTAAATTTGTTTCTCCTTCAATTTTTGACAACGGTGCAATGTCACTTTTATTATTAATAGAATTAATTTTAATCATTAATTGTTCAAAAAATAACAAAAGAATACAAGAAAGACCAAAAAAAGTGCCAAAACATTATAGAAAAAATTAAGAAATTCTTCTAATTTTTTCATCAATTAATAATTAAAGTTAATTTTTATTACTGATAGAGGCAACATTACATCATTTTTGAAAGTTGAAGAAAAATATTATATTTAAAAATGAGATTGGGATCCTAGACATTTGTGGATCTATAATTTGTAAGCTAAATTGCCATTTAACTCTTCTTTCTTGCTTTCTTGCTTTTTTCTGGTTCATTCTGCATGTCAGTTCAGAAATTAGAAGCAGGATTTACTAACATTTTTCAATAATATACCCTTGTCTATCTAGACAATATTTTCAAATAGCATTTATTAAGTTTTTAACTTTCAAGGACAAATTTGATTGATAACATGATCAAATTTTGAAACTAACATCTAAATTGGGATTTTCCTGAGAGAAAGATTGACGGACCCAAAACAAAAAACAAAAAACAAAAAAACAATGGGAGGGGGAAAAGGAGATCACCTTCAAAGTCATTGGATTAGACGGAGCTTTCGTTTTCAGGAGGGGTTGTTTCTAGGATATAGCTAGATACGTATGTGTTAAACATGGTCCACGTACAAGGTTTTGAAAATTAATAATAATCATATTGACCGAAAAAATAATAATAAAAATCATGAGAACAATTTGACTACGCATATATAGGATTTGAAGAGGATATGGATATAATAAGAACTGGTAAGAAAAATAAAGCAAAGAAATGAAAAGCAGACACGTCGAGAAAAGGCCAACAAGCTCTCGATAGTCTTACTTACTAACCCAAAACGTCCTCCCTTCTCGTTCTGCCTTGTTTGACCCAACCGCACGCCATCCCACTGATTCATACTTTGACAGAGAGAGCATGATTTAGACACAGTAATAAAGTTAAAAGCCATTTCCGGTGGAAAAGAAAAAGACTCCACCCGCAAAATTACTTTTTCACCCTCGAGAGTCCACTTCCTGACCAAACCACCTCTTCGAATTTCCTACCAAACTTTCAATATTAACATTATCTTATGTCATTACTATTCTCCGCTTCAATATTCTAGAATACACTATAAGATTCTTGTTTGTTTACCTCTCTCGCATTATAAAATTGTGAGATTCTTTCCAGGCGGAAGGTGTTCACACAATGGAGGGAATGAATTCCTGTGTGTATGGTGGCTGTGTTCTCTGTAGAGAGGTCACGCTAAAGAGAGGCGCCCGGAAAATGGGCCAAAAAGATGAGGTCAAAATTTTGCGCTTTATTTTTATGTTCTTGTGGGGACTGGCCAATGGTTGGATGCCACGTGGTCCAAAGGTGGTGCTTTGGCTGCGTGGTCACTGGCACAGGGCAATTATTACGCTGATTCTGGGATTCCAAAGTTTCAACCCCACAAAATGTATATGGTTTTGGTGATTTGGGCTTTTAGGCCCACATTTGAGGTCCATTTCGGTGCTGCTTTTTGCCTTTTCGCTGCTTGAGCCGATTGCCACGTGGGTTTCCCACTGTCGTTTAGTCGCTTACAGTGTGCGTTTTAGCTTTTTTTCAGAAATCACCTGGCTCATGTTTTTTGTTCTTCGTTCTTGATTCTGCTGCAGCCAGGTTATGCAAATTTCTTCCACGTGCCACCAATTTATACTCTTCCGACTTGCCTCTCAACCTTCACATCTCATGGTTCCACTCGCTTCTTTTTATTATTCTTTAATGTATACTAAAAATCAATCGGACATTAACCAGCCAAAGAAGTTTGTTAGATATTATTAATTAATCATAACTTACACGAGATTAAAAAAGAGTTTGATAGTCCCATTGATTCCTTGTGGTGATTAATATGAATAATATAATTGAATTGGGTAAGTATGAACGACAGACAGTGGTATGTGCTGGAAGCAAAACCCCAAGTCCGAGGTCAAAGCAAACATACGCGGTCAAAGAGAATGTGACCCGCGAGAGACTAGGCTAAGTTATATGCTACTAGCACTTGCTAATCAACGCGGATCATTAAAGCCACGTGTTGGTTTACTATGGATAAATGAAGAGTTTAAAAAATAGCTCTGACTTTTATTAATTGATAAATAAAGAAGAGAGGTAATGAAGGATCAATGTCTTGGAACTTTATCACAAGTCCGCCCAAATGGCTGAAATATGCCGAGTCTTCCAGAGACACTTGACTTTGTATATTAAAAAGACAGTGATGCTGGTGATGTGTGTGTGGTAGGCGAAGACTATGACCTGGAAGTTGGACCCGATCCCTCTCTGTCTATCCCGTGTTGGGTTGACCCGGTCAAAATCAAAACGACATGTGTTGTGGCTCCTTAAATCATGCGTCGTTGCTTGGTCTGGCATTCCCAAAACGACACCTTCTCATGCCGCTCGGTCTCACTCCGAATCTTGTGCTCCTTGTGCTTTCAACTATTTATTTGCCTCCCTGCTGTCTTGCTCGGTCAAATTTTCGTGCCCTGCCTTTTGTCCGACGGCTATAATTCATGCCTGTCTCTTCAACCTTCTTTCCTTTGCAAGTTGCGCTGAATTTAAAAATTACAATTTTGTTTGAGAAGGGAATAGCGAGATATTAAATGTGAGTATATTTTTTTTAGTGAAAATTACATTCTTTCATTAGATCCCATCCTGTTGGTCCAGATAGCTTTATCTTACTAACGGAACGTGGCCTTCATTCACAAAATCTTGTTCTTTCCTCTGTTGGACTTAAATCAATGCTAACTGAATATTTGGTTTGACTTGTAAAGAGGATGACTCTTATTTTTTTTTTCTTCCTGATGTTTTTATATTTTATATTGATGTTGGTATTACTTTTTTTGGGAAAAATTAGTCAATGGTGTTCGCAAGCATGCTAGTGAAGTTGTGAACTTTGATAATTCGATACTCTTGCCCATTTTTTAGTTAAGAAAACAGGCCTGGACCATTTTAACCATCCGAAGCGTACTGCAACATGCTCGTAAAAAAAAACCGGGCCCAAGGTTCATTACAATTAGAAAAGTGGCCCAAGATCAATTCAATATGCCCAAATAAAAGCAAAGCATTTCATAACTGATAAAAATTGCAGTATCTGGACATATTTATTTATTTTAATTTATTATATTATTATTTTTGCTCAGTTTCATTCTTAAAATTTTTATTTTAGATTATGTTCCCCCCTCTTTACATCAGCTAAGTACTTAATGTATGCTGTGAATTACATACCCAATATATTTTATAATATATCCTAGATGTTCAATTTCATAAATCTAGTTTTAATTTGCTTTCCCAGACTATCTCCTTCTTCTTCTTCGTGATGATTATCTTCTTTTTATTATATGCTTCCCTCTGTTTTTTGTTGGGCCACATGATTGGTTAAGGTTTAGTTTAATAAAAGTGTGATCAAAATACTAATATACGTTTTGCTAAAAAAAAAAAAAAACAAATACCAATAGACGTTATAACCGTTTAAGAACAAAATTTTGGGTTCAAGCCTATGTGAATACATAAAATATTTTTGGGAGTGTTGCTCCCAATTAACTTTCTAATTACTAAATTTACGCAAACAACATGAACGTTGCATGTTAAGTTCCACAGGAAATTGAAGAAAGTTTTTTTGATCCAGATATAATTCGAATTCATGGTAAAAAAAAATTGATAATTTTAAGAAAATTGTTGGAGCGAAAAGATCAATATTGACAACCAAAAAGAATCATGAGAACTTTTCATTAATCAATTCAACAAATAAAAATGTACTCTTTAAGAATGATTTACAAAGAGACAGGCTAACTCTTTTAAAAATGGTCATGTTGAGAATAAGCCCCAAACTCTTTGAGGTCACATGGTGAGGAGAGGTAATTTTACTTGCCTAGCTAGTTGATTATAAAGCGTTTCCTGAGATCTTGCGAGTGTAAAATCACATTGAACATCCAAATTACTTAAATTCAAGCATCTCCTAATTTATTTGCGATATTATTTATGTACAGTTTATCTGAGATTTGAAATTAATGTATGATGTACATTGTACAGTAATTTCGTTAGACATAGAAGAATGGTAAGAAAGGGACATTGCCAGTTAGATATGCAGAGAAAACACAAACTGCTTGAAATCCTCGTTGACTACAAAATACACAGAATTTGAAAGGGCTATTGAGAGATATGAGAGCCAGCTAAACCAAGAAGTGAGAGAACCAAGAAACATCCAAGCTAACGTACACCAAGTCGATCATGAAAGGGTAAATTAAACAGACACAGAAACATTAACAATGTGATTGATCAGAATCAAATTCAATATGACAAAGCATCAAAATATGATCCATGACGACGCAGAGAGGCCGAGACATAGAAGCAGAAGTCAATACCCGAACCACCACCCCTTCTCAGCAGTATTAATAAGCCCGCAAAATGGCCTTACATATACCACAGAGCCAAGGGTTCTATAACTATATATATATATATATATATCTATCTGGTGCGCTCTTGACTCCCTCTGTCCCCTCTCTATTCCCTCACACAGTAATCCATTGACACCTTTCCCTAACCTATTTAACATACTAATAACTTAATTAACACAATAGTTCTTACTCAGATTCGATCAATATATTCTAACACGCCTCATTTTCAGTTGGTTTGGTCTGGTCTGCTGCTAGTTTTTAGACCGAATCTCTTCATGACTAAGGTTCTGTTTCATCAGTTACAACAACAGACTCAACTATTGCTTAGGGGTGTCCGTAGTGGCGGGTTCAGTGCAGGACCCGAAAAAAGTGCCATTATGATCACTGCAAAGAGCAGCTTCAATTTGGTGCAGAGTATTGCAGAGATGGTTGTTAATGGCGGTGACGCTGGAGAGGTTGAGTTTCGCAGAAGGGATAGTGCTTGCCAGAACTTGGAGGCCCACTGTAAGGAGACAAGCTTGGTTCAGAGAAGAAGAATGTAGCGGCGGCGGGGGTGCGACGGTGGTGGCTGATGCTTCGGTCGAATTGGCATTGATATTGGTGACGGAAGTTGTTGCGGGAACGATGTGGAAGCCTTGCGGAAGAAGAGCTACGGAGGAAGGGTCCTCACCGGACATGGCGAGCTGAATTGATTCGACGTCGATGGTGGCGTACACCACCAGACTTCCCGACTGGTCGGTGCAACTCTCTTGCACCACTAGCTCTACGCTCTGCGATGAGTTGCTCGCCACCTGTTTCTAACAAGAGGCCACAGTGAGAAGATGATCAGTTTAATCTATTTAATTCGTGGGGATCAGAAATGAGCTTACATTTATGCGCAAAAGAGAGATGCAATTTCCTGGATGTGAGCCGTTAGCAATATGAGCCACTTCATGCAAAGAGTTCCCATTGGAGAGAAAATCCAACTGCTAACGATATATATAGTCAAGCATTTCTTTGAGTTAATAATTTGTTGGCTGATAAAGTGAGAGGAAGGACGTACCTGAGATCTGCGACGTTCGTCCTTGAGGAGGTCAAAGACCTTGGAGTGAGAATAAGGAAGCCAGGTGGTGGAGGCTGCACTGAGTATGACGCCATTAGGTTGGCCTGGGTTAGTTATCTTCCTTGTTGTAATTCTAACAGTGTCTTCAGGAGAGTCTGACAATGCCGTCCATGATTGACCACTCGAGGTGCTCATGTTCAGGCTAAACGTTCTTATCATTCTCTGAGCCAGTTTCATCAAGTTCTTCCTCGCTTCTGGTGAGGGTATCACTGCAAGTAAAGTAACACCCACCAAACATGTCACATACATGAACGTCATTTAAACCATTTAGCAACATTTATAGCAGGAAGCATAAGATTTTGTATGTGAAGATGATGAACCTCCAAGGTCTGAAATATTCCTTGCCATGAGGCTCGCGACCCTCTCACATTGCCTCTGCAAAACTCCCAACCAACGCTGTGCTCCGAACGCCATTGCACTGTACACATAGTTACTGAATATCTGATGCACTGGTTTCTCTTCCACCTCTGCGTGCTCCACCCATGTCACCTATACGTACAGCATTAAAAAAGCATGAAAGTTTACGCTAAGTAATTCATGAATCAAGAGAAGCATCATCAACTTTTTACGTGTGTTCGAAACTGAACTCACTCTTGAGTATCCATTTGGCATGTCTTGAATAATACAGCCGGAGGGTCGCCTGCAATATCTGGGATAAGAGTGGTGAAAATTTTCGTGGAAACTATCAAGGGGGAAATCAACAATGGCCCAGGTTCCCTCCTCAGCGTTTTGCTGGCAATAACGAAGAAAATGAGTCTCACGAGTTGGCACTAAGGGAGAAATCACCTGTAATTCTGCGTACATCTACAACAAAAGCAAGTAAATTTTCAACAGGAATATATACACACATGTACATGGCATTTACCAGAAGAAGTAGAATTTTGGTTTTGGAGGAACTGGATAATTACCAGCTGAAGAGACCCACTTGCATGACCAGAAGCACCCGACGATATGATTTGGACAGTTTTTGCCCTAGAAACAATGGTGGGGAACAATTCCATCCACTTAATCTGAAATTAATTCGAAGATCGAGGGCGAAGAATTAATCAGCAGAAACATGAATTTATAGTGCATGGAGAACCTTGTTCATCTAGAAAGATAGACAAACACAAACAGAAACCTTGTACATATTCTTTTAATTGTGTTTGTTTGTCTCCGACTTAATTTACAACTCAAGTTCCGAAAAACATAAATTCAGTGAATTTAAATCTGTGTGGGAGGAAGAGTTCCAGCAGGAATCACTTACAGCATCAAGGAAGGCGTCAACAAGAGTGACGCTATTCATTATGACCACAGCAGTGTCACGGCTAGCTTCTCTCCTGAGTCCAGGCGAATGGTTCTTGAAATTCAGAGGCCAATGAAACAGCCTCGCATGCTCCTCAAAATTGAGCATTTCCCTCTCATTCTCACTGTTTCTCATCCAAAGAGGCTCGTTTACGTGACACATCTTGAGGAGTTCATCCATGGACGACAGTGCGAGCTCCAATGCCAGAGATTTCTCGTCTTCCATTAACAAGAGACCACCGTCTGGGAATGGTGAAGTATCCGGATGAGGCAGCATAGGGACAGGAATCATCTCCGAGGTACAAGAAGTAACAGGATCAGGAAAGTGCCTTGAGTATGTGTTCATGTCCAAATCCAATGAAGGAGCCAACAGAGAAGGAGCTGGTGACGCCATTGTTTGCATTGGACGGCCTGTGTATCTCGAAGTGAGACAACAAACGCGATCTAGCTGCAAAATATTTGCAATGTCAACCTCATCAGTTCATCCTTTCTCTCGTTTTCCTGGGGTTAGAAGAAATTAAGATTTCTGCGCTTTGTATATTTAATTGGAAATGAAGATACAATCGGAGATCTCATGGAGCACACTCTTCTCTAAGTTATAATTTGAGAGGGGAAGGATTCTAAAGAAGGGGAACAAAAAGATGGCCTGGTCATAAAATAATTTCGTTTTTATCTACTTTTAGTCTCTCTTTCATATAGATAATAATAACGGTGATGTTTGCTATTAATCTAGATTATCCAACTAATGGAAGTTTTATGAAATTTTAAGGACAACAACATGCAATCAAGTCAAATATTTCTTCACACGTTCTGAGAAACTTTTCCTTTTAAAATCCATTAGATTGAGGGGAGTAAAAGAAGGTATGAGGGGTCACACTGAGGAAGGCTTCGAAAATTAAACTTAGATGAAAATATTATTATATATTTCGCTTGATCAGTGAAAAAAAGAGAAACATTTTCTGAAACATTTTCTGTGTTCTTCCATTCTGGCCCATTCAAATTAAAGTACACTATAGTCTCAGATGTTAGTAAAATACACAGGCCCTTTAGAAGGGAGAGAAATTAGAAATGAGCCGACTTGGAATTTCAAGAAATTACTTAAGCAAGCACAAGTGCAATGGATAGGGATAAGGAACCTCTTCTCTAAGGCGAGCATTTTCAAGGCGAAGCTGATGGTCATCCATGCCCAGATCACCACCCATCATGGCTGGACCACCACAATTAGGACACATCACATTGCGCAAAGCTGCTTGCAGACGATAGTTCTCATTCTTCAGGTTCTCATTTTCTGCTCTCAGTATCACATTGTCAGTTCGATCTTGTTGTGCCTATAATCACATTAACAGAAACGTTTCACGTAATCTCATTACAGTTGCTAACTAAGCGGAGATGTGAAGGAAAAAAGAAGACCATTTTACTGTAAAACTAAAATGGTATAATGATATGGGCAATAAATGGTAGGGGAAATGTGACAGGTAGGGTTTAATGCGCACATTAATGGAATACAGACTGTATAGCGAAGAGACGAAGGAGCCACAAGCAAAAAAAGCAGTGACCCAGAAGTAAATGATGAGCCACTTGTTTCTTCTGCTCTTCCCTTTCTTCTCTATCACTGCGTGTATGATCCTTTAGGGCTTACAAAAGTTTTAATGCAAGCAAAAGCAACGCGGTTTCGACCTTGGGAAATGTGCCTTCCCGGTTTAATGAAGCTGCTGGTACAGTATATTAGGGTTTTATAGTTATTATTAATATTTTGTTCCATGAGGAGGATTAAGTTGTGGCCAATACCTTCATCTGAGTTCGACGATTCTGAAACCAGAACTTCACTTGTCGCGGCTTCAAACCCAGCTCCTGGCTTAATTTCATCCTTTGCTTGTCGTCCGGGTGAGGACATTCCTTGAACAAACTGCCAACCACAAATATATGGCAAGAATAATCAGACATTTTTCAACTAAAAGCAAAAGATGAGAGCAAACTTAAATATAGATATTACGCTTCCATTTCTTGGATCTGACGAGCAGTATGCCTGTGATAACGCTTCTTCTTGGCTGGCTGTTCACTGTCTTGCTCGTTCCCAGACTTGTCATGATCAGCTTGCTCGCTACCAGACCCGCTCTCCATGATCTCTTCCTTCCCTCGCATCATTATCCCGTCTTCTTCTTTCTGTGTCGTCTCCAAGAAACAAAATCATATAAAGTTATGACTTCAGCATAAATTAATCGAGAGAGAGAGAGAGGAAATTACCATGGGAGGTTGAAAGGGCTGGAAAGGCATGGTGGGCATGAAGTTGAAGTTTGAGTTTTGGATTGACGAAGAGAAGAGCGTTTCTGAGTTTACCACCACGTTACCTCCCATGCTTGACATCACTTGACAATCCCCATACATTGTTCTCGCTCTTTCTTTGCCGTTTTCACCCTACAACACTTCACCACTTTTAATATATCCTTCACTTCAACCTAGCAAACACGGAAGAGGATAATATTACTTGTCCGTTTCAGCGACTCAACAAAACCCACAAGAAATACTAAACAATTCCCCAGGAAAAGGGATCTAGACGACCGACATAAACAGAAGAATCAGCGCGTAAACATAAAACGAAAGAAAACAAAAGAGAGAGAACGACGAACCCTATACGACAAGAACGAGCATGAGGACGAGCTATCTGACTCCTTGGCCTTAGCAGAGTAGGAGACTGTTTACCCTCTTTCTCTCTTCTTCTTCTCCTTCTTCTCACTCTCTGTCTGTCTCTCAGTTATCTCCTTCCATTCTATGTATCTCACTCTTTTGTAATAAATCGGTTAATTGAATTGAATACTATAGTAGAAATTTACTGGAATAGTAAATGAGTGAGGACAGAAACCGATCAGATACACACCTCTACGTTGGCCGTTTCGTAACACGTGTCCATCTCTTACTGGCCTTCCGTCCGTTTCCCATCACCTCTTCAGCAAAGTCAAACCTTCTCATTTTCAACCTCACCAAGTGACCTCATCCTCCGTGTCCACGCGCCTCTCGGAATCCCGCCCTTTTCCCTGATTCATTAATACCCCCGAAGGAACCGTGCGGCTCACGCGACTTTAGGTTGGAGTGGGGATTTTTTACACTGGTACGCAAGAGTGAGGGGAAAAAAATTTGACTTGGTACCGTTGAAGAGCGAAAAATGACGAAGCGAGTCAAAACGATCAGAGCCGTAGGATCTAAGATTGATGGAGGGTGTGGTTACTGTTCTGTTTGCACAGTGAGATGGGATGACTTTTGGACAAGATTTTAAAATTCATATTTAACAGTTTTTTTAAATTTAAATTAAAAACTTGATTGATATTAAAAGCTGCAGTGGAGGCACGGTAGTGAAAATAAAGTTGCGGTATGTTTGCTTCAGTGGAATAGGGGAGAAAAGGGAAAAGCGTACGGCCGTCACACACCTAATTACAGGGAAATATATTTTCTATTATACCAAAAACTATTAAGAAATATTTTCTGTGTTTTCACGCGTAAAAAATATTTCTTTTTCATTATCACTCTCATTCCATCCCTTATCCCCATTCCAGTATGCCAAACATACAATTTTTGTATCGCCACTTTGAGTAGAGGGATCAACAGGACTTGGACTAAAAAATTCAGATTGAGTAATTTTAATGACATTGTATCCACAGTACTCAAATAAGTCAAAACAGCTCTTGAACCGTTGATCCGGCATCTGAGTGGCATGCCAAACATTCCGTTAATGTAAAGCGTTGGTAAAATTGAGGCCTTAGGGCGTGTCGAGCTCAAGTGGGGACCGCCTATCCAAAATACTGTTTGGAATTAAAGAGGGTGTGGACAGCGATTTATAGAGTTATTGCTTGTGGGGATTTTATTTTCTTTTAATTTGCAGATTAAAGAGTTGGGGAAATTTCGTCACTCGTGGATTACGAGTACTATTTCTTTCTTGTTTGGTCAAATGAGGCGGCCCAGTGTTGCTTTCAAGGATTTGTTAGTACTAATTCTGTGATAATTAGAGTTTGGGTTTGTTCGTTTACGGTCATGCACCTTTCGCACTAACATGCTTTTCTTTTATCCGAAGAATTCGTGTTTAAAAATTTATTTATCAATATTTTTAATTTTATTTATAAATTACTTTCAACGTATTTTATTAAAGCAAAAGAAAAATCATATTTATAAATGTAATAAATTTTTAACTTTACTCTTATTCAATATACATATTTTAATAATAAAATATTTTTTTAATTAACATTTAATAGAGGATAAAACCAAAAACTTGTAATAAAATTCAATGATACAACTTATAAATAAGACAACAAAGTTAATAAGTTATGTTCTTTTTATCTTATAAATAGAATTAAAACAGTCATTGTGTTGACCCCAATTCATAAGAAGTAATTGACTTTTGCAAAACTCAATTACCAGAATTCATAAGAACCAAGGTATACATGCGGATTTAAAGAATGCTTATAAAGTTAAACTTACATATAATCTAATAATAAGATTATTTTTATATTAATAATAAGATTTGATTCTATAACCTTATAAGTGATGAGTCAAAACTCAATTTTTTGTTGCTGAATTTCGAGTTATATTGCGTGGCATTATTTTAAGAAAAAGGAGCATAATTTGAGAGTGTGAAAGCGTGATCACATAAATTAATGAGATATAGAAGATGGTAATAAGAAATGGGAGAGACAGCATAATCATCGGAGTAATGCATTGAAGGTGATCCAGGAAGGATGATTGACTCTTTTAAGAAAGGACCCACACAATTGCGTAGCAAATCAATGAATTCAATTGTTGAGCTGTGTTCACTTTATATGATTGGCAGTGTCCATCACCCCAAAAATGTTACTGCCACAATTTTTATGTGTTATAATAATAATCCTGCACATAAAGTCAGTATATCTTTAAATGGATATTCTCTCCTTTTTAATATTATAAAATATTTTTAATTAAATTACACTTCTTAAAATAATTAATTATTTTTAAATTATACATTTTTTATATTTACCTTTATTCAAAAAACTTTATTAATTGGGTCGTCCCATACTGCGGGGAAAATTAATATTTGAATACTTATTAAAAGAGATGCTTGCATTTAATGTTCTATTATAGTATCTCAAATAAGATTGTATCTAATAGGAAGATATTTGTAAACAATAAGAAAAAAGAAAGCCTTATTAATTACACCTTTTTATTAAGGATATATTTTTTAAAAAAAATTTAATTAACTATACTTTAAAATACTAGAAATATTTTATATTTTTTAACATGATACTTTGAAAAAAAATGTTTACAATGCTCTTCAATGTTTGGGCAGTAAAAGAAAAATTATTCAATATGAGATCCCTCTTCTTCTTCTTTTCAATACAAGCAAGCATTTTTAATATACAAATTAATTCAAGATTCAATTTGTGTCTCAAAACTTATGCTCCCTCCGTTTAAAATAAAGCATTTTTAACTGAATTTTACATATAATAAAGTGGTTACCTATTTTTAAATTAACTTTATCTTTTTATATTTACTCCTATTAAACGTCTTATAATAAATATAAAGTCACTATTGATATGGGCATTTTTGAAAAAAGACAACGATTATATCTTAAAAAACTAAAAATGTCTTACATTTTTTAATATTCAACTCCTCAAAAAATGTCTTATAATTTTGAATGGAAGGAATATCATATTTAGTGACTAGATTGATAAAACTTAAATTTAAGAGACTACAATTAATAATTGAGACAAATCTGAAACTAAAATATTTGTTATCCTTTATAAATAACTAAAAATCACATTGATCCAAACAAAACCCAGGCCTAATCTAAACGCAAAAGTTGGGATATTGTTGATATTGATAATAAAAAAAAATCCTTGGTCTCTAAAAATAAAAGAAGGCCAAGTTTTGTACGTGTAGCACCCCATTCTCACGAATTGAAAGCCCATCTCTCAATATTGACACAAAATCCCTACATATACATAGAACGAGTTGTGGTATTTATCATGCGATTGAGCATCGAGAATTTATCACCTCTAGATCATTAGATTTACAAATTTTCAACAAGTATACAAAACTCATTCAGATCTATTATAGATTATCCAGATTTACATATTTTTACTTTTATTTTTTTAAAAATCATTTTAATGAATACATAATCTAAAATAAAGACAATATTTTAATTGTCAGTTTTTTAAGAAATAATTTTTTATTTAAAAAAAACTTACTGAAAAAACTATAAATATAAAATATAAAAATTAGATATGAATGGTTCAGAGGTGATGAGCTCTCAGTACTCATGTATATGATGAACACTGAAACTAGCTCCACATATACACATTTTCTCCATTTCATATTGCAAGATATTTTTATAGGAGGTGATTTTGTTCCCAAAATATAAAGAACTTTAATAAAAACAAAGTTTAATTAATTATTTTTGTTTTAATATTGTTCTTCCATTCTTATGATATTTTTACTCTCTTTTTCTATTTAATGGTTCCCAAATAATGTGATATTAAATGAACGATAGTTTTAAAAATTTATATTTGTGTGTTTTTTAAAAAGGAGTAAGATAAGAATGTGCATTTAATGAAACTTACTAGTATGCATAATTTGTCAAAAAGTATATTGTGGTTATGGAAGTTCATACACATAGGTACATTTATATGTGTAGACACGCACATATATGTACACATTCATATATACATACATTTGTGTGTTCACGTGTGCAAACTGTGACTCAAAACATTTCTGAATGGGAAAGAAAGTCAACTATTCAGTGTGCCGGCACAGAATCACAAGGCATGGAAAAGAATCAAATTGTGAATCCTAAGGCTAAGTCCCAGAAGAAAATCGAGCAGTCAATCCTACTACAAAATCCATAACTACAAAAAAAAAATCATTTTTTTATATTGACATGAAATCATTTAACTAAAAAAGAAAGTAAAAATCAATAAATCCAAAAATAGCATAGTCATCTCAAAATATCGCAATATTAAATACAAAAATGATACCTTTTGTCTCATTTTTGATATACATTTTTTTGTTCATTTTAAATATTAATATTATTTATATAATTCATGGCTATACACGTGGATTCGATTTGAACTGAGAAAGACTTCCAATTTCGTTGATCTTTTCAACGTAAAATTTTCAAACACGCCCCCACATTCACACTCATAAGTCATAACGTACTTTTTCAAACTAATTCAATATCTCTTACAATGTTTCTCGCAATTAATAACATACTTCATGCATGGTTAAAGCTGTCACATCTAGGGTATAATAATGACCCTAACTAGCCTAAAAAAATTAGTAAAGTACAACTAATCTAAACTTCTAATATTCTGAAAAAGTTGTCACAATGTAGAGTCTTGTGGAATTAATCCTTGTAAATATTAATTTCAGATTCATTTGTATAATAAAATAGCAATTTAATTAAACTCTGCTCTACAAACTATATATAATTACTATATGAACAGTTATATTTGAAGAAATTGAGGAAGTCTCTGGACGCTTTCATAGCGAATGCTAAAATTATACTAAAGCATAAAGGCTTTGTCAAAATTCTGGTGACACTCAAAGTAGCCGTCAAAGTTTCATTTATATTGACTTGATAAAGCAAATCACAACAACAAAATAAAATAAAGGCATGAAACATTTAAAGTGATACTGAATCATTTATATCCTATCTCATAAGCTACTTGAGAGAATCATGAGAAATCAATTTCAATGGGGCACAGTGCTGGAAAAGGTAAATTAAAAGCCCGAGACTTTAATTGC